GCTTTCTGTCTCTATGTCTCTCTCTGTCTGGCGAGCGCACGCGCCCTACAGTGAAAATCTCTCAAAAAAAAAAAAATTACTTTTTTGAAACACTTTTTTAAAATAAAAAATAAATAAATAAAATAGACTCTAAACAGAAAAAAAAATCACCATTTTTTTTCCTTGGACTTAACAATGTGGAAGGATGGTGTGGCTTTTTGTTTTTTTTTTTTGTTTTGTTTACTTGTTTTAATTTTGCCAGAAGGCTCAGTGCTCTCTGGAAAGACAGAAAAACAAGAGAGAGAAATGAGAAAGCACTCCCCTCCATGGGGCATGGTCACACCACAGTCCTTGTCCATCTCTCCCTCCTTTCAGAACCCTCGGGCATGCATGCCCGCACACACGCCAGGGCTACTTCTCAGGCCGCTGGGTCTAGGACTCCCACTGTGTGGTCAGCCATGTGGGAGCCGGTTACCTTAACCACCAGGCCTTGGAGTTGGCCCCAAATCAGACATTTTTGTATCACGAGGCAGTTACTGCTGAAAGCTTAGCATCATGTGTGTCATCGCCATTTCAGAGTGACAGGAGGTGGACACATCACAGCTGCTTGAACTTCAGCTGTCACAGCTCTGTATTTGACAGAGGTGGCCAGCTTCGGCTGGGAGTCACTCGACCACCGAGCAGCCGCGTGGCCTGGTCTCCTGTTGGTGACCCAAGTATCCTGGGCCATATTTCAGAACTTCTTCAACAACTAGTCTTTCTTGTTGACATCGAAGTTCAATCTCAAACTCAGAACCCTTTTCTTTCTCACAGATAAGCTGTGCTGAAGATATTGGCCTAGCCCAAGATGAACTTACTCATCTTAGGAAAAATAAACCCCACAATTGGTTATAATGACAGTGTAACTGCAGAAACCTTCGAGAAGGTTCCTTGCCTTGTAGAGCAGGCTATGGAAACTTGCGTGTCATTTATATGTCTTCAAAAATTGAGATTTTCAACCACAGTAATCATAAGAACAAAAACTCAGAATTGGCTGGATGACAACATGATCTGCATGCTGCCTTGGTAGAGCCCCCCCTACTTGATGCTATTGCAGTAACATCAGCTCTCACACCGATGTCTTTAGAACAATAACATGTAACTTTCAGCTTCATTATTTGCTATCAATATGTTAATACTGTGACATAAATTTGATTTTTAAGAAACTTTTTTAAAGAATTATTTAACTTTATTTATTTATTTATTTATTTATATTAATTTGATCAGAGAGGGACAGAGAGAGAGAGTGAGAGACAGTGAGAAAGCAAGCCACCAGATCTAGAACTTGAACCGTGGTTAGCCATGTGCGAGTCCAGCACCCTTAACTACCACACCACCTGCAGGCCCTGATTTTTAAGAAATTTTTATTACCAGGTCAGCCATGTAGCCTAGTGGTTAAGGGACCTGGATCCCACATGGCTGACTATGGTCTGAATCCTGGCCTGGTGGCTTAAAAAACATGCTGGGTGCATGTGTATTTCTGTCTGAAATCCTGACAGGATGAAGAAAGGGAAAAGGGATTAGTGTGAACACGCCTCACTGGAGAATACTTTATCCCTCTGTAGCTCTTTTTTTTCTGGAGAGCAAATGTATTCTCTGACAATTAAAAAATATTTAATAACCGGGACCAGCAGTTAGCATAATGGCTATGTTGCTGGACTCCCATGTAGTAGACCACGGTTCAAGTCCTGGACCCGGTGGCTTAAACTCATGCTGGGCACGTGTGTGTGCGTGCCCAAGATTCCAAGAGGAGAATGGAGGAGAAGGGATTGCGGCGTAGCCATCCCCCCCAGGGGGAGATTTCTCACTTTCTGTCTCTCTGTCTCTCTGACAAGTGCATGCACCCTGTAGCAAAAAAACCTCTCCAAAAAATAAAAAAAATTTAATAACCACATTTCAGTATAGTTGGTCTTTGCAATCCAGGCATTTTGTACACTTACAGACAACATTCAGGGCAGTCCTAAAACTGATCAGATCTGAATAAGCTCTGTGGTACCAATGTCAATTTCCTGGTATTGGATGATGTTTACACAAAATGTTATGAGTTACCATCAGGGAAACTGGGTGAGGGTGCACCCTTCCATATACTACACATTTTTTTGGTGATGTCTTGTGACTCTACAACTATTTCAAAATCATTGTTCCTAGAAAGGGTCCCTGGGCTTTATCAGATCACCAAAAGGGCCCACAGCAAGGGAAAGCTTTCGAGGCTGCCTAGCGAGAGTGTTTACTGTGCCCCTATGAGCAATGCTGGTGTGCCCCAGGGGCGGGAACACACGTCTGCTACAGTGTGGACGCACAGAAGCCCTGTGTACAGGTGGGGGTACTCACTGGAACCTGATGGACGCCTGCTCCAGATAGTAGATGTCAAAGAGCCAGCGGAAAAAGACATCCAAACTGGAAGCAAGAACAAAGCCGGCCCTTGAGTTGCTACATCTAGAAGAGAGGCACTAAGACCTATGGTTAATTCCTCTCTACCTGGCTCCCCTCCTTCTGTCCTCCCTTGGCCAATCCAGACACTCTTCTTTATTCCAGCTGGTCAGTCTACATTGCCCCTCTTCCTTCGGGATACTGGGCCACCCCTGCCCCTAGCCCTTTGGCCTCACAGCTCAAGGTCACCTCCTCCTGCAAACCTGTGTCAGCCATTTCTCTCCTAGGGCTCTCTCCCTCTTCTCAATCTCTACTGTTGGCTGCGTTCTTGGCACCTTAGGCTGATGGTCAGCTGCTAGGCATGCCCTGTCTCCCCAGCTGGGTGAAACGCTCTTTGAGGGCAGAGTTCATGGCTGACATGTTAAGTTCGCATGATACCTGGCTCATGCTATATTCATGACAGGCACGGGATTGCCACTGGAGGAATGGATTTGCAGCAGCCACAGGTAAGCTACAGTGTCTGAAGGAGGAGGTTCCAACTCTAAGGTGAGCCTGGCTGAGAGAGGAGGGAGAATTGGAAGTGAAGTACCTGGTCAGACCCATAGAGGGTAGAATGACCACCATGAACACCAGGAAGATGTAGCACTTGTGCACTATGATTAGATTCTGACTTGACCTAGAAGGAAACCAAGAGAAATACTCATCAGTGTGTGACACATAGTAAGAATCAAAGACCTAACTATATAATGAAGAGGAAGTGAGAGCCCTCTGGGCCAGGAAATTGGTTTAATAGAGTGCACACCAGTACCACCACCATGGAGCACAAGAGCTGGACTGCACCTGGGAGAGCAGGATCAACTAGTGATGTCTGCCCTGACCACAGGAAGGGCAAGAAGGAACATATCATATATTCAGTGCTGCATGTTGAAGAGACATTACCAGTGGTACTCAGCATCCCTGCAGCATTTTCATAAACAACATAAATCGTGTTCTTAGCCAGAGGAAGGGCCAGTAAGGATTTCTGTTAGGCTAGAGCCATTAGCTTACTGCCAGGTATAATAGTAGGAACTTTTGGTGCAGGAAATAACTTTAAAAAATACATATGCCCGAGGCCATGTGCCAGAGAGAAAGAAAGACAGTCCCCCGAAAGGCACCTCGGTTATTCTGAAATCCTATTCCTTCATTTCTCCATCCCATCAGGATTCTGGGCATGCATGTATAAGTACCCAGCATGTTTTTCAAACTACCAGGGCTAGGATTCAAACCACAGTCTGCTATGTGGGGTCAGGCTCTCTCCACATAAGCACTTAAAAGAGTGAGCTATGGAGCCAGTCAGGAAGCAGGCAGCATTCAGGCCACAGCAGTGCCCAAGGACTTGCCAGCTGATTAGCTATTGCTAGAATTCGTAGGGCTATTTAATGTTGGCGTGGCGTGGGCCAAATATATGGGTAGTCACTGAGTTCAGGGGCCCCTCTGCTGTGGCCATAGCAGTCTCCCTAATGTTCTACAAACACATCTTTCTACTCTGCTTTCTGCCTGGAACTCCTGGCACTGCGAGGTTCAGGTCCATAGCTCCCTCCCCTCCATATATGACTGAGGCCAAGGGAGAAGCTCACCAAGGGCTTGGTTTTGGCCCTGCATCCCTTAGATGGTGGCTCTGTCTCAGCGTTCCCAAAATCAAAGGCCCAGAGGCAACTCAGCCCCCCCTCTTCCAAAGAGAAAGCACCTGTTGGTCTTTTGGGATTGTTCGAGTATTCTACTCCTTAGGCCAGATGGGAGGCCCAAGTCCCAGTGGTGGGTAAGGTGGGGGAGGCGGCTGGAGCACAGCAGGGCTTGGGGAGGAGCACGAGCTCACCTGGTCCAGTGGGCCTCCAGGAAGGCCGAGAAGTAGACGATCATGGGCATGATCACCGTGAAGGCCCAGAGCATCAGGGAGGGGAAGAACTGGGTCACGATCGGGCTCTGTGGTGCAGGGGGGAGCAGAGCAGGAGACACGTCACTGCAAGTCCCTTCCCCCAGCCCACCGGACTTCTCAGATCTTGTCTTCCAGCTCCCTCCCTGAGCAGGCCTGCTCTCCCTGGGGCTGCAGCGTGGGCCTGGCCTTTCTCATGTGCTTTCCTGGCTAGGTGTCTGCCTAGTTGCGGGCAGCAGAGGCTGACAGCCCAAGGTTAAGTGGAGTCTCCGGAAAGTGTATGCTGAGATCATCTGGAGAGGGGAAGCCTGCATTTGCCCTGAACTAAGGCCAGAGCAGCTGCTGTCACGCGGGTCTCTCACCTCCAGGGGACGGCGCTGCCTTTACTGTAACGCTATGGGTATGGGGCGAGTGGAGAGGGAGGTAAAGGAGCCCCAGGAGAGCTGCAGCCTCCCAGCATGCACGGTGGCTGGGGCCTGTTGGGAAGTTGGTGAAGGGAGTAAGAGGCAGGAGCGCAGGTGCGGCTTGCCTGCATGCATGTGTGTGTGCACGTGTGTGCAAGTGTGTGTAAGCATGTGCATGCGTGTAAGCGTGTGCGTGTGTGGTGAGAACAGGAATGAGGAGGTATGGAAGGAGGGGGCTTCTAGGCTTATTATAACAACCTTGAGGCTACCGAATTTGGAAATGGGCCAGTGCTTCCTCTGAACTGCTCTGTCCATGGCAGATGTCCTGTAACTTCAGGGCCAAGGGCTCCCAGCCTGGAGGTGGTGTCTGGAGATGAGGAAGGCCTAAGGGCTGTCCTGGGCTTACCTCATTCTTCCTCACCCTCAACCTACCATTTGAACCAGGAACCCCAGCTCTGGAGGTCTGGGGAGAACGCAGCTGGCCCATTTGCCACACCCTCTGCACCCCTAGCTGGCCCAGGGCGACCAGATCCAGTGGAGCCGTCTGAGCTCACACCGAGTGGACTATCCACTCCCCTAGACTCACCCCAGAACCTGCCTGCAGCTCCCTTACACTCCCTTTCCCTCCCAAGATGGGCAATGACCCACATTTGTCCCCTTCAGCACCCCACCACAACGTCGGCAGTGCGTGGGCTCCACAGCCTCATCCCTGTGGGCCCCCTCCTGCCCTCGCCTGAACTCTTCCTGGGTCTGCTGGGGTCGCAGGCCTGGCCTGAGCCGAAGAGGCACCTGCAAATTCTCGATGGGGCGGGTGACGTTGTACATGTCGATGGTGTTCATGATGATGGCGGGCGTAGTGAGGAAGAAGAAGAGGCAGAAGAGGAAGGTGTTGATTGCGATAAAGCGGGCCCACCACATGAAGCGGCGGATGGACAGGTGTTTCCTGGGGAGGGACGGAGGAGAGATGCACACTGAGACCTAAGTCCCAGCCCTTGGGGAGAGCCCACGTGTTATTTCCTTTAAGCCAGCTGTGGTCCCACTGCCCTGGCCAATTCGGTCCCACATCTGGACCTGCACACAGTGGCCCCCTGGACCTTCCCTGCATTTGCACCATCTGTAAAGGCTCTGGGCTGGTCTCATGGTGAGCAAAAAGTGGTCTGAGCCCTTCCTGCAGGAAAAACCTTTTCCCAGAGGGTTAGGTGCCTTCCACATTCGTGATGGGTGTGAGTTTGGAGGAGGGCAGAGTCTGTGGTGCCCAGGAGAGCTCATAACACAGCCCAGCAGCACTGGGCTGGGGGAGTCTCTGCAGCAATGGGGGGAGAGAAGACACTGTCCTTCTGTCTTCTTCAGTCTGAGGAGCAGACCAGAGGAGGGGAGGGACAGAGTTGCTTACCAAATGATGTCTTTGGGGTGTGGGGCGAGAGCGACCCTCCACTGGTAGGACTTGACGACGGTGGTCACCGAGGACTGCTGGGGGCGCACGCCACAGTGGATGTACTTGTAATCCTCCCGGACACTGCGGACAAGGCAGAGGACGGGGAGATGGAGCTCGGGGTGGGAGGATGGGTTCAGGGAGGTCTCATGCCAGGGTCCCTGGGTCACTGTGGCCATCCCACAAGTGGGACCCATTTATTTCCTAGGGATGCACAAAGTCTTGAACATGTCTCCCAGGACCTTACAGACATTGTAGACGGTTCCTAAGGGCAGGATATGAAGGCGAGGGGCACTGAGGGCATGAGACTGCCCAGAAAGGGGGGACCCATGGTTCTCAGCTCCCCTTTTGCCCCTTTACAGCAATGACTGCAGTTTGAGGTTGACAGGGCGGTCCTACTTTTACTCTCATCATTGTGTCAGTAGCTAACGACGATTGAGGTCTCTCTGCTGCATGGCACTGTGCTAACTGGGATTAATACAATCTCTAGTTTTAATTGGACAGATTACTACATTGAGGAGACTGGAGACGCAACTGAAGAAGGGCAGGTGCTGGCGTAGGAGCCCCGTCTTTGGTCTCTAACTCATATTCTGCTAATGAAGCCTCGGATCCCCCCTACCAAACGGCAACGTCTCGGAAAGTGAGCGAGTGTACTGGCTTTGGTAACACGTACACATTAAATAGAACACGCACCCTTAGGGAGGTGGACAGGACGGGTATCAATATCCAAATCTGACAGATAAGCTCGAGAGTGTAAGTAACTAGCCAAACTGCACACATTGCTGGTGACTAAAACCTAGGCTGTGCCACCACTCCTCTGTAGGGGAGGGTGAGTGGGGACAGAACGCTATGCACTTTCAAGCTCCTCAGGGACAGATCATCAAGAGACTGATTCTGGAGCTCCCATCTATTTGGCCAAGTCCTCAGGATCCTTCCAGAACATTCCAGAGTGGACCCAATTCACCCCCTGTCAAGGTAGGGCTGCCAGAGCCTGGGACAGAGGAGAGGGGGCCTCTAGGACTATGAATTAGGGAAGACCTGCAGTAGAAGAGAGAGGGCACGGGACTTCTCGACCCGGATGTTCACAGTGAGGAAAGGAGTGATGTGTGTGCAGGGGACAAAATAGGTGACATGCTTGTCAAGGCCCAGAAGAGGAACAAGAGGTCAAAGGCCACTCTCACCACCTCTGTGCTAACTCAAGGACAGAGGGAGTGAGGAGCCCAGGGCCCGGCATCCTTGGGGACAAGCGGAGCCCCCGCAGCTGTGGAGGTGAGTACGGCCATCCTGTGAGGGAGCTGCCTGTGAGGAGCACGGTGGTGAGGGGAGGCCAGCACGTGGCTGGCTGAGAGGCTCCCTCTCCTCCTCTTGGCTGAATGGGGGTGAAAGAGGAGTCAGAGAAGCAGAGGCCCCCTCTCGGGCCGGGTGGGCACAGCGCAGCTGGCCCTGGTGCTCACCTCTTGGCCATCTTGGAGTCCTGGAAGGTGACAAAGATCAGGTCGAGCCGCTTCAGCTGGACGCGGTTGAGCTCGGCGTTGAACTCATCCGTCAGCTGCTCCTCCAGCTCGCTGTAGTACTGCTCTGCGTCTACCTGGGGCGAGACGCGGCCCTCAGCGCTGGAGCAGCCAGAGCCCCAGGAAGGCCTCGCCTGGACCCAGGCCCCTCTCCAGCCCGGAGGCTACAAAGAGCTCGGGACCGTGGGTAGGTTCCAAAGTCCCCCCGTGAGAACAGAAAGAGGCTGGGACTCCGTAATTTGCTCTCTGCTCTTAGATCTGGGGAAGGTGAGGCACAGCCGGGGCAAAGGGGCGCTCTCAGACTTGGGGTGGACCCCAGAGAGGTGATAGCGTCTGATGCAATTCCAGAAGCAAATGATCCTTTTTCTGACTGGCTGCCAGACAGTCCTGCCCTGAAGCAGGGGTCCAGGTCTTAAGGCCCTTTCTAGCCATAGTGGTAATGTGAAAAGACGGATGCTGTCACCTTCAAGGGCGCCTGCCCTATCTCTGGAAGCTCAAGGCCTGGCAGCCTTCTGCAGCCTGCTGTGTTCTTCTCCCTCGGTCCTCCCATCCCAGACAAGAGCAAGCTGCCCTGGATTGCTCTGGAGGCAGCCCCAAGAAAGGCTCCTCTACTTGCTCAATAGGGATAGGTGGGAAGAAAGGGGGGAGCTGGGTCCCACAGCCCTGGAGCAGACCTCAGTGGGGCCGGGGCCCATGCCCCTCTCTGCCTCGCTGCCCCGATGCCCACGGCAGGTACCTCCTTGAAGCAGGTCCAGCAGCTGCAGAAGCAGAGGCGGGAGCAGGGGTGGATCTTGATCATCACCTTCCCGGTCTTCTTGGCCTTGGCCGTGTAGAAGAGCCGGCCCCGCATGGCGTGGCGCCTGTCAGCGACAGAGGATGGACCTTCCAGTCAGGGGCACAGAGCCCCATCCTCGCCTCCTACTGCCACCTGAGACCCCCAGGGCCCCACTGCAGCCTCACCTCTGATCGTCCAAATCGATCAGGGTCCTGACGTCGTAGCAGAAGTGGACTCTGGTCACGACGCACCCGGGATAGGCCTCGCTGCAGCCACAAACATGGATGCCGAGTCACCTGTGGGGCTGGGGGTGTGCTGCCCCCCATGCCTGTGCAGGGTGACAGCCCACAGGATGGTGGCTCAGCGGCCTGGGGTTCCTGGGACGGGAGGATCCATCCTTGCTCCTGAGGCTGAACTTCAGGGTCTGAACCCTGGTAACATGAGAAGCGCTGCATAATTCCTGGATGACTCACAGGAGGGCTGAGGGCCAGAGCTCCGACCACTGGGGACCGAGAGCCACCCGGGCTCAGGAGCAACAGGTGGAAGGACAATTAGTACATCCCACATCACATCATTCCACGCAGGAAACCCTGACTTCAGAGCCCTGCCCTGGCCCGGCTGTCCTTTCTGTTCTGGAAGCCTGATACTGAGCTGAGTCCAGGGAGAGCCACCACCTGAGTGTTTCCAGCCCCACCACCCTGTGCCAACTCACTACCCACATGAGAACCCAGGTGGGCTACCAGGAGGAGGAGGCAATCCACGCCTTGGCCCACCACAACCACTTACTGAAAATGCTTGATGATGATTTCTGGGTCTTGGATGTCTGTGGGCACATAGGTGATCATCAGTGTCCTTGTGACCTGGGTGGGGTGGGTAAATGAAAACGGTGCTTGCAGAGTCCTGATACCGGGGTCTCTTAGGCCCAGAGCCTCTCAGGAGAAGGCCTTTGCTCACACCAGGCTGTCTGGGGCCTGGGGGCTTCTGGCTGAGCAAGTAAAGCCCGCCTCCCAGGCCTGGGGTGCCGCAGTAAAGCAGGCAGCGCTAAGCTCAGCAAACAGGGCCTCTCTTCTTCCCAGGCTGTGGTCAAGGGAGGGAGGGCCAGACAGCTGCAGACGGGCCGGGGGAGCAGAGCTCCATGGCTGGAAAGAACCGCCAGTGCCCACTCACTGTCCTTGCGACCCCGCACAAGCTCTGGTCTCCCTGCCACCCCACTTTCCCACATAAAGCCTCTCACCACGAGCGAAATCCCTGATATACTGGGCAGAGGGGTTGGGAGGTGAGCAAGGCTCGGGAGAGGATGGAGAAGGTCCCCCAAACTCCCTATTTATTCTGTGGGTGGGAGGCGTCTGCCTGAGCCATGGCCTTCCTGATGGGTACACTGAGCAGCAAGAGACAGCGGCCTTGGCAGAAGCTGCTGGTGACAATAAGGAGAACTGAGGTAGTTGAGCCCAGACCGACAGGGGTGCCCGAGCCTCCATGTCTGGCAGGTATTTGGGTAACTTTCCAGGGTATGTGGATTTGCAGGCCAGGGCTGGTTCAAATGTCAGTCCTGCATGGTGGCCTTGAAGGACTGACCCTCGTCCATGAAACCTTTGAAAGGCTGTGGATGGGAGCCAAGGACGTTCATCTTCCCTGTCACCTTCCCCACTAGGATGCGGGCAGCCTGCAAGCTCCTTCCCTCGTGACCAGCACTGGGCCGGGTGAGTGGCACTACCAGTGCCCAGCCATGGCTTCCGGGGTTCATCTCTGCACCCCAAGGCTGCTGCGTGCTTCAGACTCTCAGCCCCACGCTGAGCGCTCTTTACCGACATTGGCAGTGTGTTCAGCTTGTGTGCTGGGTAAGAGGTGAAGGGTCCAAGTCCCCAAATACAGCCCTCAACCAGAGGTACAGAGGGAGTTCGTGGAAAACACCCTGCCTGCTCACCTCCAGGCTTGGGGGATTCTAGGACGTGTGTTGGCGCCCCAGGGGCAGCGAGCTCCAGCTGCCCACAGCGGTCCGCTGCTTGACACTCGCCCTTCCTGGCTGCCTTCCCTGCCCCTCTGTGGGCCTTCCCTGAGATCACCTCCCAAATAATGCTAAGCCCTTGTCTCAGGGCCTGCCTGGGAGGGGTGGGTCACCCAAATGAAGGTAGTGGGGGTACACAGGATGGGGTCTCAGACCTCAGAGAGAATTGCGGAAGGGCAGGGTGTGGGCTGAGCTTGCCAAAATATTTCCCCAGTAGTTGAGCACCACCCCCACTTAGGAAGGGGCCCCCTCCCTGGTCCAGGTGTTGGCTAACCCTTACTTTGTGGATGGTGGACAGACCAGGGGCCCTTGGGGAGGGGCCAGGGGAGCACTATTTACCAGCCTCTGGGAAGTTCCGAGGCTTCACA